TTTAAATTTATTTAATTTATATAAACCATTTTTTTTACTTGGCAAGGTTTTGATTATTGAGGCTAGAAGCAACTCCAGTAGCCTTTTGAAGTTAAAAGAAAATAAAATACAAGTGTTGTTATGTTTTAAATTTTAAAAGGATTTAATTAAGTTTTACATATTTTATTTAAGGCGGTGCATTAACTGAGTTTATAAATGGCACTGTTTGCCTCAGGAGAATTTAGCCTACTCTGCATGTATCAGTCAAATATTAGTGAATTAATAATCACAAACACAATTTTCTTATTTCATACAAAAGTCATAACAAGATTTGTAGATTGAGGGAACAAAGATTTATAGATTGAACTTAACTAGGTTTTCAATTTGTAATTTAATATGCCAAATATTAATATAAAACCCACTTAAGTAAATTATCATTGCTTTGTGCAAAGAATTTCCTAAGGGAACTAAGAAACTCTAGTGACAAAAATAAAAATTTTTTTGATTAGCAATATTAGGTAGCTTTCACCCAAAATCAATGGTCTTAAGGAGTTCATCCCCAAACATCCGGAACAGCCAGGTTATAGCAGAGGCTCTGGAGTACTTCTGAGAAGTAACTAGTTTGATGTTTTGAGAGTCTCAATGCTGAAAATCTGGGGGCGGGGGGGGCGGGTTGCTGAAGTATAGTTGACACACAGTGTTAACATTACAATGTTACATTAGTTTCAGGTGTGCAACGGAGAGATTCAACATCTTTATATATTATGCTATGCTCACCACAAGTGACAATGCTGTTTTAATACCATTGACTATATTCCCTATGCTGTGCCTTTCACCCCAAGACTTATTCATTCCATAACTGGAAGCCTGTACCTCCCACTCCCTTTTACCCATTTTGCCCCTCCCCCAACCCCCCCGCCCTCTGGCAACCATCAGATTGTTCTCGGTATTTATGGGTTTCTTTCTGCTTTTTGTTTGTTTATTCATCTGTTTTATTTTTGGGGTTTCCACATACAAGTGATATCATATGGTATTTGTGTTTCTTTTTCTGACTTATTTCACTTAGCATAATAAGTTTGGGGCTTTCTTTTAACAGATGTTTCATAGCCAAAGAGTCCAAACATCTGTAGGTTAGGGGACACACCTGTTCATTGGTAGGGGTATTCTGAAGGTAACTGCTGCCCCAAAGACTCAGGCACACACTCCCCAGAGGATGATATAAATGAAGAAAAGCAGAATTACTCCACTGTTGCTGACTTTGGAGTAATAGTCATCAATAACAGGGTTTTTTCTAACTTCAAATAGCATTGCCATTCTATTAGCCAATGTTCTGAAAGAAATTAAAAAGAAAAACACAACCCAAACTGACACTTGACATCTGTAACATTGGTATCTGGCCTTCTGATGTTATGGTGTTTACAACCTACTGATAAGAAAATATTTGGATCTGAATTATCTTGATACTGAAAATTTTCTAGACCGAATTCTTTAGGAAATTTAAATACTTCTCTGTAGAGGAATCCCAGACTGTCAAATCCCGGGAGGTATTGAGATGTCATTTGATCTTTGCACCTATTTAATAGACATAAGATTTTCATGGATCAGGAAGGAAAATAAAAATTTATTTCTTATTTGGTCAATTCAATAAAATGTCTCAAACCATAACAATTTCTGTTATTTCTTTTCATAGTGGCCGATGGTTGTCTGAAGGAGAGCTATCATGATGTGTGGGAAAGGGACTTGCTCCAGACCCAGAGATTCTAGCCTGAGTTCACGCCTGCTTCTGCCACATGGCCCTGACGCTTGTGGAAAGTCACTTAACGCTTCTGCATCAGCGTCACACTCCAGTACATAAGTAAAGATCAAGTCACAGAGAATGAATAGATTTCTAGACACTGTACAATTCTGACCATTTATTTTGCTCATTTCCTCCCTTTTCTGCCAGTGTTTTCAGAACATATTACCAAGCCTCTGAACATCGCTTTCTTGCCTTCTTCTATAAGTAGGCATCTGGGCCAAAAATTCCCTTCAGAGAACACCACAAGGTCATGGTTAACTAATTTTATCTTTGCCTTTAATACACGAATGGACAGATTTCTTTTTAATTTCACTAATGAGATATCTTGAGTAGAAGGTATGAAGGTGCTGCTAACCCTTGGTTCTGTGAGGGTGGAGACTGCTTTTGTCCCATTCATTGTTGTATGGAAAGGCTTAGCAAATACCTAATACGTCACAGTTATTCAAATATTTATTAAGATTACTGGTTGATCTGAAGTGTGCTTCATTATTCAGAGACACTAAATCATACCCAATATTTAGTTGGCATTTTAGTGTTGATTGATGTCTTAGTATGTTTGGGCTGTTATAACAACATACCATACACTGGGTGGCTTATAAACAACAGAAATTTATTTCTTATAGTTCTGGAGGCTAGAAGTCCAAGATCAAGGCACTGGAAGATTTGAGCCTACTTCTTAAATGGCTATCTTTTCACCAGAACCTCACCTGGCTGAAGAGGCAAGGGAGCTCTAGTCTCATTTATGAGGACTCCCCCAACACGACCTAATACCTCCCAACTGCCCCACTTGCTAATACCATCACCTTGGTGGTCACAATCCCAGCCTATGAATTTAGGGGGACACAAAGATTCAGACCATAGTAATCAATGTCCTTAAACTCAAAGGTACAACTCAACTCAAAGAGACTTGCACACTTATTTTGACTGAAGAAACAATGAGTCCCCATGATTACACATATCGACAGTACCTGATGCTAAATGGTTGATGTGTTGAGATGATTTTGTGCATATTACAATTCACATATCCCAACATGACAAGTAAAGTAGAAAAGTTTCAAGAGTGAGAACATGTAGTAGATACTTCCTAAAGGTTGGTGGGTGAGCACCTAACGTTGGTAGTTGAGATGAGGGGGGAAGAAAAGTGATGCAGATTTCAGTTTTGTTTTAAGATGTTTTCTTTATATACAGTTTTTGTCTTCTTATAAAAAGAAAATAAAGAAAAACAAAAAGAGAAGGAGGAGGAGACAGAAGGGTAGGAAGAAAGGAAAAAGAGGAAATTCGAAACATGAAAGGGAAGAAGGAAGAAGAAAAGAAAAGGAGGTGGGATAGAAACATCTAATGTTCAGAAATTTAGTTAGTTTTATCTCAAAATCTTTATTCCAAAAATAATCTTGTATGGATCATTAGAGCTGGATCAAGATAACACCATGTCTTCAACTTGTCTTCCTAAGTAAGCTGGGGCAGTCAGGCCAACAGTTATCAGTGTCCTTCCCTACCTTTTCATCTCCCTTTTGCATAAGTCTAGAAGGAAATAGCCAACACAAATTTAGCCCTGACTCCCAGTGTAACAGCCGTAGAAGAGAGAGACCAGTGAAAAGCTAGTTCTGCTCTGATGACAAAGTTGGAAGAAATGCAATAAAAAATCTGAGCTTGGGACACAAAAGGGTGGGCACACTTGGGATTAGCCCCATCGCAACATTTAGCCCAAGACCTTATCTTACACTTTTAGCTCTCCCTGGGGCAGAAAAAAATGGCAACTCTCCTACGCAAATCATGGTTGGAAGAAGCATTATCATCACCTCCTCCATAAGCCACATCTTCCTGGAGGGGAAACAAACCCTATCCAAGAGAGCTGAAAGCCAAGAAATGAGGCTCTGGCAATAGGGGCCATCTCTGTTTTTCTCTTCCTATTTTTTGCTGATGTGTGTGCCTTTGTTTTTGTGCATTGACCCAATAAATGGCTGGGGTTTTTATTCCTAAGTGCATGATATTAAAGAAAGTCTCATTCAGGGGAACTGTAACGGTGGGCTTAGGAGGACTGAACAGGCTGTAAATGATTGACACTGTCCAACAAAGCACAATGCCATCTGATGGTGATAGAAGAACACAGATGCCTAATGCATTGAAAAAGGAAGAGTTAATGAGTAAACCACAGGTGTTCAGGACTGGGACACCGCAGTCACCATCTGCTTCACAACACCTGTGTCAGTAACAAACCCAAGCCACACTTTTCTTTTCCTGCTACCCCAGTGGACGTTAGCCCACCAAAAATGTTTTGTCTCTTTAGCTGAACAAACTGAGGCAAAAGGAGAGTAAATGGCTCTCCCAAAGTCACATGATAAAATATTGCAGCCTTAACAAGAAACCAAACATTCTGTCTCCCAGATTTGTGCGCTACTGGAATGCTTGATGAGTTAATACCTCTCATTATATCCCTGGTTTTAACATCAGGTGGGTTCTGAATATTGTTACTTTTTTTTGCCATTTTTGGATTATGGTAAAATCCACATCACACAAAATTTCCCATTTTCACTGTTTTTAAGTGTACAGTTCAGTGGCATTAAGTACAGTCACACAGTTGTGCAACCATCACCATCATCCACGGAACCAGCTGAAACTCTGTGCCCTTGAAACAGTAACTTCTCATTCTCCTTTCCCTCTGGGCAGTCCTGGCAGCCACTGCTAAGTGTTTTTTCACAGAAAAAAAAAAAAAAAGTTGAGCTAGGTTTACAACCAAAAGTTGTAATTAGATACAGGAAGGCGGGGGTGGGGGTAGACATAAATTCGGAACAGACTACAGGTAGGAGACAGGAGACCATGACTGTGCTGTGTGTGTGTGTGTGTGTGTGTGTGTGTGTGTCTTTAAAAGATGCTCCACCTCCCAGCCCGCCTCCTCGCAGTTTGCCACTGGGGTTTTGCAGTCTCCTGATTTCCTCTTGCCCCCCAAGGAGCCAGCATGGGCAATATCCTTTGTAGTTTCAGAAGCAGGTCTCTTGCCCTGAAGGTCGCATTCTGAGCTGAGGAGCATAAACGTAACCACTTGTTTTTCCTTTCAAAGATCTGCCCCAAAGATAGGCTGTTGCTCTTCTGGAAAGCCTGATCGGTAGGATTCCTTAAGGGGCTCAGCCCAAAGTGCTTCCTCCCATCCCCTCACCAACTTCAAAACCAAAGCTTGCCAAGAAACTCTGGAGGAAAACCTGCTGGATTCCATCGTTTCACACAAATGGCTAATCCTGGAGGTGGTGCTATTTGCAATGGAAATCTGCACAAGCACGAGAAACAGAGCGACGGCTCACCCACTGGAAACTGCGTGAAGAACGGGATAGTGAAAGAAGCCCAGGTAAGCGGCGAGCCCTGCCCTGTACGCTGAATGACCTGGACACTTCCCTCTTTCTCTCTGGTGCTGTTTGGAGCTGCCGAACTGAAAGTCCTTTCCATGAAGTGTTTTATGTGTTTTGACACTTCAGCTAATTTCAAATGCTTGGCTACAAAAAGGTTGAGTTGTGGATTAAGGGGGAGCCTGTCTTCTCTGTGCAAGAGCGGACACACAGACCCAAGAGCCTTAAACTCCCCAAAATACAAACATATCTACTAGACTTCTGTTCTCTCATGAGTATTTTAGGGGGCAAAGTGCTGAATGCTCAGACCCGTCAGCTGAATTTCTGTGCATCAAACAATCACAGAAGGCTACACTTCCCAGGCCTCAGCAGGAAAAAGAGCAGTGATAGTAAATGTGCTGAGGTGATGTGGTGTGGGTGGCATTTTTCCCCAGTACGTGAGAAATGCCTCTCTGGCTGAAAGGCGAATTCTTTGTCCTGTTTAGTGGAGCATTGTCATGGCTTACAGCTTGACTTGGGGCCAGAGTCCTTCTTTGAAAGGACATCACAGGCATTCCTTTCTGAGACACTTCAGAAAGGGTGGCTTATTGTTCACACTGCACACAGGAACTAAACAGGCTTTTCATTGTTTTCCCATTTGATACTTTTTTGTCTTTCTTGGCTCTTGGCGCTGACAGAATGTTTGGTGGGGATGTACTGAGGAGGAGGAGGAGGAACTTCAGAAATATTGTCAGTGTATTCAAAGAGGGAGCCCCGGTGTACAAGGTACCCATAAAAAGGTAGTGCCCTCCTTCTCACGTAATGCCCTCTGCTAAAGCTGCACAGGTGAGCTCACCTGCTTCGGGAGCAAATTAGCATAGCCAAACAGGTGGCTTCACTCTTGGGAAATGTGAAGCTGGGCGGGGAACCCGTGCAGTCCTGCGTTACACATCCCTTAGGAACCAGTATCCACCCAGGGAGAAGGTCAGGTTGCTCTAAGATCACAGGACAGGCAGAGCTGGCTGGGGGCCAGCCCACACCACTCAGTAAATTAAATTTGTGCTTCTGGAAGAGGTGGGTGGGGAGGGGTGCCCTGGCTCCTGGGGTGTGTGTGAAAGGCTGTCGTCCCAAAATGAGTTCCCCTCTTAACAACAGGCATTACCCTAGGCTTGGACGTATCCACCAAAAACCGCAGGCCTGGCCTCTCCCAGCTGAGTATCTGAAACCTATTGCAATACGAAGAGAAAACATTCAACTCCTATCTTCCTCATGAGGACAATCCTAATGATATCCACCATCTATTTGTCAGTAAGTGTTGATTCAGACTGCTAACCACCCAAGATGCTCCTTGACCCTGAAATGCTGGAAACACTGGCCACACACCCACTCACCCTCTCGGCCAGTCTGACGCTGGGGCCTCTCATTTGGGCAGAAGAGCCTTCAAAGCTGTTCTTATGTTTCTCTACCTAATCTTGGTTTTGTAACCACCTTCTAGTGTCTGAGGTTAGAAACTTAGCTCAGTGGTTACAACCACTCCTAAGTAAAGATGAAACTCAAGATCCTAAAGATTCATTGCTAAGTACTCCTGTAAGATTGAAAATACCCTTGGACATCAAGGCCTCTCTTAGAGCAGCAGGAAATAGGACAGCTATTGCCTCTTCCAACAGCTCGCTCTGAAGGGCCATCCAGAACCTGCTGGTTCAGATATATTTAGGTGTTACTAAATTGAAACTGGCTTTCATTGAAAGCCTCAGTTATGACTTGAAAAATATTTTCCAGAAAGAATAAACCCTGCTGAGATCTTGGTGCAGGAAGACAGACAAGGGCCTATTTTCCCCTTGAGGAGGGTGCAGTCATCTTTACTACATGATCTTCTGTCACTAGTTTTAGTACATTTTGCTTTGGAGACCTTTAACCAACAGGTCTTAACCAAAACCCTTGCCAGTTGACAAGAGCAATTCATAAATTCTTACAGATATCCCAGGCCAGTGGCCTTCCCAACATGTTCTGCCAGACTTAAGGTCCTATTAAGTGGGATCTAAGATTCTACCAGCTTCTCCCAAGATCCCTTCATACTTTCTCTTCCTGCTTCTTTGCAGTCAGATGGTAATACCTCTGTTTCTTTTATGTATCACAGGACCCTGTAGGACTCTGAACAAAGGGTTGTTTGGCATAAAAAAGAATATGAAAATCACCGTTAGGCACTCTCTCCAGAACCCTCCTTCTCTTTGTTCCAGTGTAGCCTGGTTTTGACCCCCTCGCACTAGAGTCCAGCTCACATACCCAATCTCAAGTTTAGCAAGGGAGCCAGATTCCTTCTGTCTGGAAAACTTCCAGTTCCTTTCTGGAGCTTTTCAGAGCTTGACCCTATCGCATGTTGTCTTCTCTTTAAACCCCACATGACCTGAGGATGCACTGATCCTGGGTTTTCATCACTGATTAAGTCCATTTATTTGTTCACTTGTAATATGTCATCCTACCTCTTACTTCTGACAGATGGAGCCTCAGTCAGTAACAGAACACTCTTGTCCTAAAGGATTTGTTTTCCCTCCTCCTGAGCATATCTGTATAAAGGATGGAAGGGCCCTTAATATCTTAACTCAAACTTTATATTTCCTGTTGATTTACTTAATTCCCATAAAATTAATTGGGGTTTAATATTCACATAATTTCTTTTTCACTCCCACTATTTTTGACTTGGCTATCCATTCGTATTAACAAAGCCTGAAGCTGGGGTGGTAGTCCTAGTGTCTTCATTGTTCTGAATACTACATCTCCTCCAAATTATCCTTTCGTGGGATGGGATCTGCCTTTTCCCTTGTTATTTCTATAGGATCAAGGAAAACTGTTGAACTTTTCCCTAATCATTCCTTTCCTAGAAAACAAAAATGTCCTGACATTAAAGTTATTCTAATTCACTGAGTTCTTGACCGTGAATGTTGTACTTTACAAAGTATAGTATAGACAGCCCTGAGAGGTAGTCATTCTTTCCACCATTTATTCATTCACACACCAATATTTATTAAGAATCTGTTGTCCTTGGGACATATAAAGATGTACAAGAAGAGACCATTTAGCTATTAGGAGAAAGCTTATATTAAAATTGTACAGTAAATACATTAAGTTAAATAATGGCACAGGACAAGAGCTGTCACAAAGCAAGCATGATTTAAGGACAAATGAGTGATACAGATATTAAATGCCAGAAGTTCAGAGAGGAGAAAAACAATAGAATGTTATCAGTGGTGTGCTATATACCAGGACTCAGCTAAACACTTTATGTAGAGATCTCCTAGACCCTCATTACAGCCCCATGAAGTGGTAGCATCATGCCCAATTTACAGATGAAGAAACATAAGAGATTAAGGAACTTGTGCAGAATTACAAGCAGCATAGCCAGGATTTGAACCCAAATCCATATCGGCCCAAAGCCAGTTCCCTTTCTACTACATTCTAAGAAACCCCAAGTTGGGGTGGTTGGTGATGGCTTTGTAGAGCCGGGAGGACTCACACTGAATCTGGAGACATTTGAAATGGCAGAGCAAATGGGGAGTTTATTCCTGGGGGCCAAATAGGGAAAAGAAGGGAGAGGAGCCCCACAGATGAATGTAAGCATTGCTAGGTGAAGGTCCAGAAGCATAGGTCATAGATCATTCCAGAAAGGAAGGGAGGAAAAAGCAAAGGCTGTGAGGCATGACAGAGTGCAGAACATTTGAGAGATTTCTCAATTTGGTGAGGCTTCAGCTTAAGAAGGAGTGGGAGTGCCATGCCCAGCTGGTGTTCAGTAAATGCTACATGAAGGGGAAAAATTAGGCAGATTCGTGGAAACTCTTCCTAGCTCTATAACCATTGAATATGAGCCTTCTGTTCTCCTCATTTTTCATATCCTTCCGAAGCCCACAATGTCCTGGTACATCTGCTTTTCTGTTACAGTATAAAAGTCTGGACAGTGAGAACCATGACTTACAGTTTAATTGCACACAGTGGTAGCTGTCTGACAGGTCCTTGTAAATATTCATGTCTCTGGGGGCTCTCTAGGCTGCACACTGATGGAAACAGAAGTCAATAATCTCACCAATTATAAGGAGAACTCATAAACTACAAGTTTTGCAGATCCCTTGGAATTGGTCTGAATGTTCATCCACTCTTGTCTTCCACAATCATTCTCTAGTACCTTTTGTTTTTTGGTTCTCATTTCCTTTAACAAATCCTCAATGCAACAAAGTTTCTCTGTGATCTCCTTAAAGAGTCCTATTTTTTCATGGGCTCATCATTCTAAAGCATTGCCATATGTCAGGTGTTACAGCTATTCGAATGAAAATATTCTGTCTCCATTTATAGTAGCTCACCAATGTGGCAGATAAGTAAATAAATAATTATAATATTTAATGACAATTTCTATAATAGATGTTGCAATTATCTACTACTGTGTAACAACTACCACAAAATTCAATAGTTTTAAACAATTGCTGATTTTTTCTGTGGTCTAGGAATTCAGGAAAGGTTTGGTAGGGATGGCTGTCTGTGCTCCATATGGTGTTTATTTTTTTTTTTTAAGATTTTATTTATTTATTCATGAGAGACAGAGGGGGAGAGAGAGAAAGAGAAGCAGAGGGAGAAGCAGGCTCCCAAGGAGCAAGGAGCCCGATGCGGGACTCGATCCCAGGACCCTGGGATCATGACCTGAGCCGAAGGCAGACGCTTAACCATCTGAGCCACCCAGGCGCCCTCCATATGGTGTTTAATGAGCATCCAATATGGACCCACTGAGACCTCGGTACTGGCTGTTGTCTGGGAACCTTGTATCTCCTTCACAGGAATACCCTCTCCATGTGGTCTCTCAGTATCAACAGAGTAACTCAAGCTTCTTTAAATGAAGGCTGGTTTCCAAGAGAGTGAAAATGGAAACCATACATCATCTTAAGGCTTAGGCTCACTTCTACCACATTCTGTTGTCAAAGTTAGTCACAAGGCCAGCCCAGATGCAAGGGGAAGGGAAATGGGCTCTGCTTCTTAACAGGGC